TCAGGTGTATTGTGGGTAAATATGTACTTACCCTGGGTTAAGTTGACCAGTTGTCAGCAGGTGTATTGTAGGTAAATATGTACTTACCCTGGGTTTAGTTGACAAATTGTCAGCAGGTGCATTGTGGGTAAATATGTACTTACCCTGGGTTCAGTTGATGAGTTATCAGCAGGTGTATTGTGGGTATATATGTACTTACCCTAGGTTTGGTTGATGAATTGTCAGCAGGTGTATTGTGGGTATATAAGTACTCGCCCTGAGTTCAGTTGATGAATTGTCAGCAGGTGTATTGTGGGTATATATGTACTTACCCTGGGTTCAGTTGACAAATTGTCAGCAGGTGTATTGTGGGTAAATATGTACTTACTCTGGGTTTAGTAGACAAATTGTCAGCAGATGCATTGTGGGTATATATGTACTTACCCTGGGTTTAGTTGACGAATTGTCAGCAGGTGTATTGTGGGTAAATATGTACTTACCCTGGATCAGTTGACCAGTTGTCAGCAGGTGTATTGTGGGTATATATGTACTTACCCTGGGTTTAGTTGACAAATTGTCAGCAGGTGCATTGTGGGTATATATGTACTTACCCTGGGTTTAGTTGACAAATTGTCAGCAGGTGTATTGTGGGTAAATATGTACTTACCCTGGGTTTAGTTGACAAATTGTCAGCAGGTGTATTGTGGGTATATATGTACTTACCCTGGGTTTAGTTGACAAATTGTCAGCAGGTGTATTGTGGGTAAATATGTACTTACCCTGGGTTTAGTTGACGAATTATCGGCAGGCGACTCTTCTTTCTCCAACTCAACACTAGTATAAGCAAAAGGTCTGCTTGCAAATCGTGCCATTTCAACCACATGTGCCTGAAAGGAAAGCATAATTAGTATTTGACATGCATTCATTCTAACATAGACAATGTTCTACCTGATAAGCAATAGTTCAGCCATACCTACATGTATGTTTTATCAAGAAGTATCATGTAAATACCGTAAACCGTTAAATTTTCACTATGAGCAATTTTCATGATTTCAGTATTGTACAGCATTTGTGAAGACAAACTTTGATGAAAGTCACAAAGATTCTAGGACGCCAGAGAAATTTTAATTGCTACTAATTTGAAAATTTTCACTGACTCTTGAAAGTCATGACATTTATCTCTTGTGAAATTAAAGTTTTTGACAGTATGTATTTAATGCAATTGCTCGCAGTGCACCAAGTATGATTTTACTGTCTTCAAATGAAATGCTTTTTTATCATTTATAAACATTTAAACAAGCATATTACTTGTCCAAGCGATTTAGCAATAGGCAACTCACCAACCCGCATTGAACCAGCGTGGTGATTTACGGTTCAACCCCACAACATAATGAGGGAGGCTGTTGTGGAGGCCACCCGTCATCAGTGGCGTGAAAGGCTGAGATGAAGATGATGATGATGATAGTACTTATAAACTTAGCACACAGTTACCAACAAATATGAAAATTGCTGCGTTTTTGACATAACTGAAGCAGCAAATGGATAACATTTGTACATCTTCTCAGACTAGAGGCCATACTTGCAACTATATTGGTGAAAGCAACAACCTGAGCATGCAAGTAGAACATATTTTTTTCCACTGATGTGTGCCCCCCCCCTCCATCAACATCAAACCTGCAATCTATTGCTCTAGGTCTAAGTACAACCATTACTATTTCTAGAAACACCAATTCTGATTTAAGTTATCAAAGTTTGATGACTCTTACCCGTCTACGCCTATAGGCATCATATTTCTGTTTTATTTTCCATATGATAGCAGCAATGAGTAGTAAGGACAGGAAACAACTAAAGAATGTCACAAAAAACTGAAGCAAGTCTAGCATCATTACAGGTCTCCACGAAAACGAAATCTAAAAAAAAAAATTCAGGATGAAGATAAGTAATTATTTATAACTGTAGGAAATTTCCATCATAATGATTCACAGCTGATTACACCCAGATTCTAATCATAACAATTATTATGAAGGAATTGATTCTGGTGATGTTTTTGGACATTTCATATTTTCTAAATATTTATACAAACAAAATCACCTAAGTAATTTTTTTATTGTTTCTCTATTTTGTGTAGTACTTTGGTCTTGCACACCATTTAGAGGTTATGTAACTATTAAAATTGTTGAATACACAATCCAAGATAGATGTTGTGAAATATGTGAATAAAATCAGGATCAGTGCAAGATGTACAAGGCTCTATTAAACATAAACATCTGACACTGAAAACATCAAAAGACGAGTTCGAAAGTGTTACGGACACATTTGAATGTCTTTCTTATTTGGAAATTGGGAGCCATGTTTACGGCACATTTGAATATATTTGTTTGTTTACACAGAAGCACTAACAGTGTGTGATGGTAATAGAATCCTATCACTGACCACAACAGTTCACACAGCGAGGGAAAAATTCTTCATTGCCATTTTAGAAGCTATCTTTCATTAAATTATTACTAAAAGCAAGGAAAAGATATATAATAGTAATAAGGTTATCATGAGAATACTGCAAAGTATGCACTCAGGCAGTACTGTAATACAAACCAACTTCACAATGTGTCGGCCGATACGATCACTGTACTGCCTCTGTGCATACTTTGCAGTATTCATGTAATAACTTAATAATACCGACTACACTTACTTGGAACCAGTATGGTGTTGTAAAATTACTGAGATACACAAAGAAGGTGGTGTTTTCAGAATCATTGAAGTCAAAATCTTTTTTGGAGAACACTATCTTGTATGACTTCACAACTTGTTCTTCCACTAGTACAGTCTCTTCTGGGTTGGATCCTAGAAGACATGAAGAACATTGTAACATTAAAGGGGAGGAAACTAGCATTAAAGGGGAGAGCCAAAGCTCAAATTAAAGGGAAGAAGCTTATAAGTGATTGTAATTGTACTGACAATATAATTATAGAGATACAGTCAACATATAAAGAAGAGTACTGTAAACTATTTAAGGTAGC